TAAGCAATCATTAAACCCCTAAGTAATCATTAAACCTAAGTAATTATTAAACCCTAAGTAATTATTAAACCCTAAGTAATTATCAAACCCTAAGTAATTATTAAACCCCAAGTAATTATCAAACCCTAAGTAATTATCAAACCCTAAGTAATTATTAAACCCTAAGTAATCATTAAACCCTAAGTAATTATTAAATCCTAAGTAATTAAAATCCAAAGTAATTATTTAAACCCTAGTAATTATTAATCCTAAGTAATTATCAAACCCTAAGTAATTATTAAATCCTAAGTAAATTATTAAACCTAAGTAATTATTAACCTATGTAATCATTAAAATCCTAAGTTATATTAAACCCAAGTATTATTAAATTATTAAACCCTAAGTAATTATCAAACCCTAAGTAATTATCAAACCCTAAGTAATTATCAAACCCTAAGTAATTATCAAACCCTAAGTAATTATTAAACCCTAAGTAATTATCAAACCCTAAGTAATTATTAAACCCTAAGTAAATCATCAAATCCCAAGTAATTAACTAAACCCTAAGCAATTATCAAACCCTAAGTAATTATCAAACCCTAAGTAATCATTAAACCCTAAGTAATTAACACCTCACGTGTCACGTTGCCCTTCCTGTGATAAATGGCTGTCATTGCGCTCTCCTTTCTCTTCCATCTTGGCAAAGGAGACTGACAAGTATTATCCTCCTCCTTCGCCCTTTCACTGGGCTGGTTCAGGATGTGATCTTCCTTGTCAAGATTTTTTTTTTTTCTTTTTTTTAAGAGTTGAGTGGCGTAGGTTTTGGACATAAAGACACTTGAGTGAGTGAGTGAGTGAGTGAGTGAGTGTCAGTCAGTCAGTCAGTCAGCTCTCTCTCTCTCTCTCTCTCTCTCTCTCTCCTCTCTCTCTCTCTCTCTCCTTCTCTCCTCTTCTCCTCCCTCCTCCCTCTCCCTCCCTCTCCCTCCCCCTCCCTCCTCTCCCTCCCTCTCCCCCCCCTCCCTCCCTCCCTCTCCTCTCCTCTCCCTCTCCCTCTCCCTTTCTCTTTCTCCCTTCTTGCTTCTGAATTTTGCAAGTCACAACAACGCCCTTAGTTACATCCGCTCCTCTGGCACGCGACAACAGGAGCGAAAATGGAATCGCCAGGAACCTTCTGTAGCAGTTTTCCCGCGTTTTGTGCCATGGTGGTTGAAAATAACCTTTAAAGGGTCTTTTCAATCAGATCAAGAGCTACGTATGAAAACATGAACATAACACTCTGGAGAAAACAAAAGCTATTTTTCTTGAAAAAAACAAAAAATAAATAAAAAAAATAAACTTCTCTTGCCTTGTTATATAATAGGAACGGCTTTCAACTCTATGAATCACCTCCTTATCTTACAATAAATCAATATAATCAATGGGGAAAAAAAACGAAAATTTGGTGTGCGGAAAGTTCATCAAAGTGCAAATCTCATTCAACGAAACCCAAGTTTTATCCATTTTTTTACAGTCCTCTTAACAAATTTTACCGAGATGTTTCATTGGTTCACATCGATACCGGATCCGAGACATGATCATCTGAGCAGTTGCTAGAAATTGAGGTTTGGTCAGTCTGCGGCGAGTATATTACTATTGTAATGACCAGAAACATGTTATAAATCTGTTTATTTGTGAGAAGAACAGACCTATAGAAAGATCGCGAAATTTAGTTAAGTTAGCCCTTCAATTTGTAACCCATTTTCTATACTCGTTTTGAGGGGAGTCAGAGCGCATTATTAATTACGTAAACCAACTTGTGCTGATTACATTAACAAAGCAAAATCCACAATAACTGATGCATAATCCATAATAACAAAAATTACTACAAGGAAAAAATACTATCACAAGCAAAATCAATGTCCATTTACTATTTCTATATTTCAATATTTGTAACTTTAATTCATTGAACAAATATAGATATTAACATTTGAATAATAGGTTTCGTTAATTAAACCTTGTAAAATGCGCAAAGTCGGGTTGATCAATTGGTTAAGTTTGGGTCAATTGGTTAGTTTTTTTTATTATTATTATTAAAGCCAAGAATGAAAGGAATGAGACGATGCGCACATACAAATCTCATCTTGTAAAACTCACTAAAAGCTATTACAACTCGTTAAATGGGTAAATTGTGACGAATATATACAGAAGAAAAGGTTCTATAAAATTCCGGTTTAGTTCTCATTTCAAATGCCATATTTAGTGAAACAAAAGATGTCTTGGAATTCACCAGTCATTCGATTCCTTGTACAACTAACCTAAAACTACGCCAGAATCCGTTATTTTACCCCATTATTCAAGTAATAATTCGAGCAATTTCAACAACTTTCCATTACATCCACAAACAGCTTCTCCAACAATTCGACTCGCTCCATATCCATCACCTTGCCATGTTTCTCTTTATCTGATGGACGTTCAAAACCCATTGCAGTAAAACTCACCGGCTTTTCATGTTTTCCCAGAGCTTCTTCGTTTGCTTGACGCTTCTGGGAGGTCCCAGAGCAGCAGCATTGAGGGCGCTGGTGATGTCCTCCCATGCCTTGGCCTTGGGAAGTGCCTTTCTGCAGAGAAATAATAGGTTTTAGGTATATAATTTTGTTTTATTTGCATTGCACGCTACACACACACACACACGCACACACACACGCACACGCACACACACACACACACACACACACACACACACACACACACACACACACACACACACACACACACACGCACGCACACGCACATACACGTCAGTTCATTCCGTTTTTTGAAAGTAATGGCCGTATGCTCAGAGAAATTGTGCAACGTAAACCAATTCTGGACACAATTTTATTCTGCTAGATTCTTCACGATTGCAGGGCGTCAACGTAACTTTAGGGCTGTCAATTTAAATAAATAAGTGTTCTTATCCTCTTGCCTTACTTTGGTATACCAGTAGATTTTTTGCGGTATTCCTTAGTAGAGGATTTTGTGCTTAAAAGTGTGGATTTCACTTTTTTTTCAAGAATACGACCATATATAGGACGCATACTTTTGTTAACTGATACGATACCCATACTCCCGTATTTTTAACAATCATTAAAAGAGCAAATTTCGTAATGAAAGTTCAATTCTGAAGTTGTACCCTTGCAGGACTTTGGAAAAATTGGGAAACTACCAAAACAACAAATTGACGAGGTAGTCCAAGTAGATAGATCGTTTCTTGGTGTTTAAGCTTGGTAAAACAAAACTTCTTTTTTATGAAAAGATGTTCATTTTGAAAAGGTTACATTTAAAATAAGATAATTAGTATAGTATATACAGGATCGGATATGGTAGAGGGTGTGAGGTGAATACTTAAAATACAATAAAATACAATACCGATATAATTCATGTTTGCTTATTTTGCCTGAATGGGTAGGCCTATATACGCAGGGTTTGATTTTTTTTTTTTCTTTTTTACCAAGAATTTTTTTTTTTTTTTCATATAGAGATACTTTATCATTTGTGAGTGTTTTTAAGGGGGTTAGGTCAAGGGTGAGTTGAAGTGTCATCTGAGTATCCCGTATTTTCGTTTCAGAGAGTTGGCAACCATAACTAAATGATATGTGAATGCTAAGGGATTTTACACCTACGGAATTTCCATCGCAAATTACACACACACAAAAAAACAATAATAATAAAATCAACACTAATTATTTAGATTCTCACAATCGAGTACCAGTCATAAAAATCTCTTATTTTAATGTTTTGGAGACAGCACCACGTTTTGGCCAAAAAATACCTAAAGCCTTTTTATCTGTACATAAACAATAACAGGCACGTAACAACAACTTGGAGAAATCAGACGAGAATTTGTAAAGCTACAATAAAAGGGGGTTGATGTTAGTTGGCCTTTGCCAGTGCGGGGGCCAGGAGATTGTTTTTTTCCGAAGTATAAATAAAATACTTTTTGATGCTTGTATTTTCGAAAATTAGACGAAATAAATTATAATTATGCTGTGTACCCCCACCCCCCCATGAAAATATAATCTACCCTAATCTGTTTTTAATATACAAACCAATGCAGTGAGCCGAAAGAATAGCCATGGATGTCATTCCAAGGATGCTATCTAAAAACAGTTTTGGTTCACATGTCAACTATAATGACAATAATGGTGCATCAAGGATTGTTGCAACCCTACCTGCCCAGACCAAGACAGAGCTTGTCAAACTCCAAGGAATGTTGTCCTCAACTATGGAATGAATTCTACCTCTAAAACACTACTGATCTTGATAGGAAATATGGCAAAAGTACTGTAGGTATTTTCTTGTCTTTGGTGGATTGCAAAGGATAATTTTGCACCAGTATGGAACCTGCGCTGCTGTCTGTGTATAGTCCACTATATTCAGTATACCGCATAGTGTATAACTGATGTATATTTCTTTTGGTTGTATTTCACCCCTTTCGTACTATGCTCGAAAGAAAATTAAGGAAAGAAAATGAAAAATAAAAAAAAACGATTTGAATCAGACTGGATATATGGGTTGCGACCTTGTTCTTTGGGGGTATTCTTATGAAATTAAATGTCATATTCAACTTACTTTCCTTCAGCCTTCTTACTTTGAAGAATTGAGGCTCTCTCCTTAAAAAGAGAAATTAGCAGAAGTCGTTCATCAGACGAGGTGTGTTGTTGGCGAGACATGCTGGACGTGGAAAGTAAACAACCCGCTTTACAGTTCTTGCGCTATTTCAAATGCCTTTTATGTGTCCCCAAAATCCATCTTGAATTCTGAATATCAAATAATAGAAAAAAATATATACATATGTATATTATCTTTTAAAATAGTAACAGTATCAAAATGTAAAAATTCACAAACTATATATTGTTTTTTTCACACAAATTCGAACTTTATTTGCCACTATTGCCAACTGCTTAATAACTAATGCGTATATTTTGATATAACTTTTGTTGACTTTCCTAAATGCTCGATATATTTATAATTGGGTCAAGAAAAGTAGAGACAACAATACATCGCACCCTGCATATATGTACACCGCACAGGGATCTGGTTTATGTAGGGTGCTAATGAATACTATTGTCTATAATTTTCTTGGCCCAGTTATAAATATATCGATATAATAAATAAGACCTGGTGTAGGTCTGGTTATCTCTCTGGCTTTCCTCTGCTCCACACATTTCCCACCCGAGTACATTTCCGACCAGATAGCCACAAACTATCATCCGAAGGCGCGAGAAGTTGCAATTGTCGCCCGGAGGTTATGTAAGGACTAAGCTCTGTCGCGTCAGCACTCGCTTGATCGAGTGCTCCCCATGGCGAGGCTCAGCTTCGCATATGAATCCTTACACATCTTCACGCTCTTGTGCGAAATCTGTGGGGGATGAGGGCAGGCAAAGATAGACAAACCTTGACCTGAGTAGCGTCTGTTTTTTCCGGAGTGTTAATAAAAAGGAGCAAGGGTTCATAATTTTGCGTATATTTTGTGTAAGTATAATATATATATATATATAATATATATATATATATATATATATATATATATATATATATACATATATACATATACATATACATATATGTTCACAGGCGCGTGCGTACGTTTCAAGTTCTACTTTCATGTAGGCTACATATATTGAACGCAATGACGGACGGACGCGCACGCACGCACCCACCCCCACAGAGTTGTATTTAAATATATATAAATCATGCAGAGGTGGGCACAAGGTCTATCCCAGGGATGCCAAAAAAAAAAAAAAAAAAACTCGCGGGCCGCTTTTCATTTCAGCTGCAGTCTTGAGAGCTGGCAAAGGATTAAGATTTATAGTACTTACCTACACAGGAGGCCGATCCAAGATTTTTGCAAAGGGGGGGGGGGCACATATGCAGGTCAAAATCCAATCACGATTAGGCCATGAGAATCAAAGTTCCTTTTTATACGACCACCGCCCGCAGGTTGCGACGACGTCCGCCAAAGAATTTCATTATTTTCAATAAATTTCATTATTCCCCCCCAAAAAGTCGCATAACACACCAACCGCATAACACACCCCATGCATCCACATCGTCGAATCTGCACAATAAACGTATTTTGCACCTCACCTGCAATACCGTCTGCCATCATTAGCGAGATATGCTGTAAATGCTTGTAGAAATAAACATGTACAATAAATAATGAAAAATAGCCCCATCGGTTTCCATTTTTTGCCCGGACGCAAAACAGGAACTTCCATTCTCGTGGCCTTACCGGAGTCGCTATGTGCTGTGCAGGTTTTCAGGAATTGCTGAACATTGAAGGTCGTTAGATATGAACATTGACAGGGCTGTTTCGTTCAAAAGCTTCGGCTGAAAAAGAAATTGCTCCAAAAATAGGGGGACGCCGGGAGTGCCGCCCTTTGAATCCGCGCCTGCTATAATACTTTTTTTTTAAGACACTAATGGCGACTATCCCAAGGTTCATGAGTCTGACATCCCAGATATTGACCTTGGGTGGGTATAAATTAAATGGGGCTGTGCTGTGGCAGCGAAAGCAGTGGCCACACGAGCGATTTATATGATTCCTCATTCTTTAAATATTTATTTGGCTTCTTTACGTAATTTGGTAATAGAAACTACGATCCCTCCACCAATCAAATAATACTTCATTGCACTTGAAACGGCAAACCAGGTAGAAATAAACATGGTAGCGAGTTCTTTTGTCGCGATAAAACCTTGCCTAAATGAAATTTTATATATACTATTGGTAGCAATCTCTCTTGAAAACCTTTTTCTTGATATCTTGGCTCTCAAAATTTCAAATGCAGGGACATTGCCTCAACTTCTTGATGACCGCATTTAAACTTTTTGGTCTCTATTTCTTCAGACGTTTATTTGTGACGAAATACAAGCAACTTTTACAGAGCATGGAAGACCGAAGCGTCTGTAAACAATCCCCGACTCGCCAACATCAATTGTATTCCATGGAGAAATAAATACCTAGAAATGTAAAAATGTAAATACAATGTGGGTATTGAAAATCATGTCTAATTGAAAAGGTTGTCATTATAATTGCACCTGTAGTACCTCTTAAAACAAAGTATAGACTCTCGCCGTTCCCCAATCGCCAACTCCCAACGAATCTCACACCTCTGCACAATCGCCAACTAAGTTCACACTGGAGTACTTACAAGCAGTATCGACTGGACGAAACCTTTTTACTCCAACCTTACTCTGCCTGCCATTTATTTCTCGTCACAAATACAATACGTAGGACACAGGAATGAACATGGATAACGAGGTTAATTGGACAAAGAGCAGCATAAGAGCGCTCCTCGAGAAGGTGAAGGAATTCCCTTGCATCTGGGACTTCGAATGCCCAGATTTCAAGTCGAAACTTATCAAAAGGGATTCCTACCATCGCATATGTGATTCCATGAGGGCGGAGTTCGTCGAGATGAAGGGCCTAACTGTAGGTATGTTGTGTTATTTTATTATTTGTGCTTTATTGTTATTGTGATCATTGGTGGTAGTAGTGACATGGTTGTACTAGCAGTAAATTTGATCTTGGCATCTGTGTTTCATTGAAAAAAAATATATATACATTATTATTTTGGTTTATTTGTAATAAGAATAGGTCAGCATTGACAAGCTGTAGAGGAGATCCAGGTAACGGCTACAAAGATCGCATAAAACTACAAGTGCATATGGATATAGAATATTAAGATTCAAGGATCAGTGGTGTACAACACCAACAAACCAACTGGGTAAATCTTTACAGTACGGATGCACTCACCAAAGACTAAGTACCCAAGAGCACATCACCAAATCTGTTCAATAATCTAAGTTGCACCTGAATATGCATGCCAAACTGCCTGAGTTGAGAGTTGATTGGGGTCTCTGCCCTCCAACGCTCCCAGGGAAACAGTGTCTTCACCATGGCAAGAACTGAAACTTGGGAGCACCGTGCTGACTAGGGGTGTGAGCTGCACTTTCCGCAGTTTTCTCCCTTTATTTCTCGTATCACCATTTGTGTTTGCAGATTATTTCTTGTATTGACAACTGCAACTTTCTGTATTCAATAAGAATACCATCTTCAATTTGCTCTAGCTTAGTGCACCCTTACACTAAAGATTAAACTAACTCTATAACCAGTTGTAAGCCTTTCTGGTATTTATCATTAAGTAAAGAGTCAGATAATTCATTATTCCTATATTATGTTTTTATTGTAATTTTGGTAATTCTTTTTAGTACAGATGCAATTGCCAGAGATTACGTCCCCAACTTGATGTCAAAAAAGTTAGTCATCAATCTAAGTTACAATGACTGGGTGGATGATGGGCACCCCCCCCCCCCCGGAAACATTGTCTTCACCTTGGTGTTCTGGGCAAGATAGAGCTAAAACTCAGAAGCACAGAGTGTACTTTGGCTGAGAGCAACGCTTTTGGTGATCTTTTACCTTTATTTTTGGCATTACCATTCATATCTGCAGATTATTTCTTATATTAACCACTGCAACTTTTTGTTCTCTACAAGAATATAATTTTCAGTTAACCTAAAATTAGAGCATCCTTACTGTAATGATTAATCCTAACTTTAATAAAGAAAGTTTAGTTTTTAAATTAAGGACTGCACAAGATTCACATGATCTGGATGGTCTCAATACTTTTGTTGCAGTGGCAAAGAAAACAATTCCCTCACAGATTTTGGTAAATCATTGTAATTTTTGCCACACTTTGTTTTCAATACGGAAATACATTTTCCTATTGTTTTTGGTGATTTTGGAAGAATTCTGACCATCACATCAATCGATATCGCTTGTAAGCCTATTTCCAAAACATTCCATGAGAGCTATTGGTGCATTCCAAGTGGTTTCAGGTGTTGTTTCATATTGGAATCAGATGTGATTATCATATTTGTATCCTTTGACTGCCTAGCCCTACTTAACCTAACCAAACCTAACCTGGCTTCATTCAGCCTTACCTAACCTGGCTTCAATTCTGCCTTTGCCTTGTGGATTCTGCTCAACCTGGAGGGTGCACTCCTTTCCCTTAACCTTGCAATAACCTCTCCCCCAGAGTGGTTGAGAAATGTGTAATTGCATCTTAACCAGTGCAAATAAGTGAAATTTGGTTTTAATATTTGTAAGTAATCATTTGCAGCGGATAGTTATTTATGGAAAGATGTTGGGAATTGAATGATTAATAAATTAAAAGTACTTGCTTGCTGTAGTGTTGTGGTGAATGTATAATAATTCCCAATTATTCTAGCAGAATATAAATTGTATAGGAATACTGGCCTTATGTGTGGAAATCTATGTACTATCTATGTACTATGTATTATCTATGGCACTGAGGAAATCTATGTACTTATTAGTGATTTCTATAGCTATTAAGAATGTAAAACAAATGTTCTTAAAATAAAAATCCTATCATATTCCAGATCATGCAAAGAATAAATTCAATCATTTGAGGACATACCACCAGAGGGAACTCAAAAAGCTCAAAAATATGCCTGGTGAGTCCGGGAAACAGCAGAGCTCCAGATGGGAATACTTTAATCACTGCTCCTTCATGCACCCAGGAGGGAGTTCGTACAGAGAGAAGAGTAATGTGAAACTCACTCCGAGAGAGACAAAGGTGAGGCTTTCTTTCTCTCCCATTTGTTTTAGAATTTTAGGGTATACCGTTAAATTCAATAATAGATGTCTTACTGAATTGTTGCCTCTTGTTCTCTAGACTAGCTGCATTAATTTAGTCTCCATCATCATTTTACCAAGACCTAATATCAAGATTAGGTTCTGTGTTCAGATTATTAAGGCTTTGATTATAGCATCTTATAAGAGATGTAGATTGATATGATTATTACAGGGAATGCATCCTGACCAGGTGGAGGAAAATGCAAGCAAAAAGAGGAAACTTAATCATAGTGAATTCAGTACAGCTGACACTGTGCATCAGGACCGTCTACCAGGGAATGAGCAGTTGATGGAAAACAGACCTGAGGCTGCGACAAGGCCCATCCTGCCTTGGTAATTGTGTTTAACAATATTCAATCTATATGTATGTTTGTGTATATATTTATTTATTTATTCATAAGTGCTCATATAACCCTTGGCTATTATGCCCTTCTTCTGAACAAATGAATAAACCAATGAAAGAAAATACAAGAAAACACAAATATGCTAACAGCATTTTCACTTATTATATATTTTCTCCTAAAGTCCGCCCCAACAAAAAGAAACTTGCTTAGCAATATTACAAGTGAGAACAGAGAATATAAATTAAGTAACTAAATGTCAGCTTTATGGAAGAGCTGAAATAAAATAAATGCTGACACAATGAATCCTGAATATATTGAAAACAGTTTAGAATTTCACTTAAAGGCCAATAGACACCTTGCTGGTTTACATCCTGCTTATCAGAACTTTCCTCCTTTTCTGTTCATGATTATGCACTTCAAGCAGACATTGTACTAATTTTTATGGATTTTCAATGCACATTAGCAGAAGGTTGTTGAATATTAAAGTAAGAGTGATAACAGTAATTTGTAAGAGTGAATAGAATGATGTGACCAGTTTTCTTCAGTTCAGAAAGTAATCTTTGATTTATCTAGAAAATGTGGTTTGCTTTTGCACAGTTCTTTCTTTCCCATTTTTGTTTTTCTTTCTTTTTTTCATTTTCTTTTTTACCAATAACAAAAAAACGTTTTTTATTTAGCTTTGAGATTTTAAAAAGGTAGAAAATTTACAGGATGTAAGTTTAGAATTCCTACCTCGGTAAGTGAATCTAGAAAGTGGCCTTAGCAAGGTCGGTCCCCTTAAGGTCTGTTTAAATGGCAATTCCAGCTGGCATAGATTAACAGATGATGAAGACAAGCAAGGGTATAAGTTCTATACATCTTGTAGCAATT